GGCAATCGTGTCCGGCACGTAGTGTAAACTCAGCAACGGCTTCGATTCTGGGCCAGTCGGCTATGTCGGAGAGCGTCACTGTCCACTATTTCTCCTTTGTTCCAGCTTTAAGTTCGTTACACCTTAAGATCTTTAATTCTCTCATGATTAAGGCCTTTATTGTGTGGAAAGACAACGACCGGTCTATGCCTTGTAAAATTGTTGTCCCCTTCTTAGCAAGCGTGTCAGCAAGCTCATTGCCTTTAAAAATGGTTAAATATCATACTTGCCGTAAGTTATAAATAAATCTATGATTCAATTTAAAACTAATAATTTAGTGAATTAAGCGTTTGATAGGTTAGAAGATGTCTAACACTCTAAGACCAGCTCGAACTGAGGTAGCTGGACTTGAGTCCATCCTACTAGAATTTTAAATAGACATTGGCTTTATTTTTAGCATCTCAAAATCACGGTCACTCATTCCACACGCACTCAGACTTCAGAACGAAATGCTCGATATGTGCTTTTTAAATGTATTACCCGTTTTTTTAATAAACATCATTGACTTTTATTGAATAGAGGATGGTGGTTGCTATTGATTTTAACAAAATTGGAAATTGGTAGTTAAACAAAGAAATGAGTCAATTTTCTCTATTGATTTTAAATTCAACCGAAATTCCACATTTTACTAAAATTTGGTAAAGAGACGAGAATCTTTTTTTGTAAATTAGAATGCCGCTTTACGAAATGTATAACAAAGAAACGCTACTGAAAATATAAATTTTAAGGTGTCTTTCAATAATAAAAAATTCAAATTCAAATAAGGAAAGTATTTCAATAATAAGGAAGTCCCGATTTGTGTCCATTTGCGTTGCGCACTCCTAAAGGTAATGAAAATGTCCCTTTTTCAATTAGCATAATTAATATTAATACTAATTTATCTATAGCAAATGGCAGGCATTTTGATAGTTAACATTAGCCCTTTGGTTGACTTTAGGCATCACAGAGGGGAAGGAACATCAAAGTGAAAAATTCGATAGGGGGAACAGAAGAGTATTTCAAAGACGTAAGAGACAGACACAAAAGTAGCAAAAAGGTGATGTGAGTACTGTGGAAGGAGTCAAATATGACATACAGTGGGGTGAAGATAGTTTAAAGTGAGAAGTCAACTTCCATTTAATAGACTTTTTTGCCGTATGAGTATACGTTGCCCAGGGTGCACCACGTGGAGATAAGTCAATCGCACACCCCATCACCATTAATATTTGTAGAGTTAATTGGTCAAATTTAATTTGGCGATTTTAATAGCTAAAAATGTTCCTTTTTATCAGGATTTAATTGCACAAGTATTAATACATTGTCATTTTGAATTTTCTGTTTAAATAGTAAACCCAATGAACGCTTTACTAACTTTTTATTTATATAATAAGGAGATTTTGGGGACCACAGTAAAATTTTACCTTTATTACTGAAATATTGTAGAAGAAAATGCATCACTCTGATTACCTCATTTTAAGCCCAAAGCAGNTCTCGTCTGATGGCAAATGCATGCGCTTCTGGACCAATTTTCTCTCCCATAATCGTCATCATCTTCAATATCGGTATAAAGTTTTCATTAAAAATACACACAGCAATAAATGTTACAATTTAATGATCTGAGACCTGGAATGGCTATGCTTTGGAGTGAAAGTTCATGTCAGCGAGTTTAGAGACTCATAATTATATTATTTATATTATATATATAACGGAACAAAAAAGCTTACTAAGAAATATAGATTCAGGTAGTTGGAGAACCCATTATGTCTTTTGTTCGATTAGTTGCAGCCCAACCGGTTTGGTTGCAAAATACTAATTTCTCCGAAAATAATTTGAATTTGAATCCTCTCGCAGACATATTCTTCGATTTTTTTATTTCTAGACCAGAATACCCCCCTTAATAGAGTTCACCTAACTTGGTCATTCAGGTTAAAAAGAAAATTTTTTTGCGAGTACTTCGTGAATGGTCTAAGTGTATATGTGCAATATGATATTAGTTTATGAAAAGTCATTTTTGTGACTTATGAATAAGTCTTTCTGCAGGCAATAGAAATTTTCGTGTTTTATTAATGTTGCCTAGATTGTTGCTATATGCCGGTTTCAAAGCACGCCAAGTTTTATTCTGAAGTGGAACAGAAATATTCAATTTTGGCCGAATATAAAATAAAGTACTTTATGAACCATCTGGTGGCCATAGTTTTGAAGATCTTTCAGAAAGAGACATGGTCGAAAACCGTGCACATTTGACATAACTGGTAAATTAAACATCTTTATCCATTTGATTAACTCTCTGTCAACTTCTGCAACATTTTATTAATTAAATTAGAGTTTTAGAAATTTATTCACAGAATTAGGTAGCATTTGTTAGCAAAAAGAGCTGTTTTGGTGGCCAACGAAGGCTTCTTGTTCTTACCATATTCGATAAGGCGGGTGTGAGCTAATGAAAATTTATAATTGTTTGTCATGTTAGCAATAGGTTTGCCAATACTGATTATGTAAAAGGCAGAAGACTTCGGTATCAGACATATGAAAATGTGAACGTTAAATTAAAATCCTAAAGAGTTTGTTTTAGCATAATTCTCAAAGATCTTTCTTGGTTTGAATAGCATTCCTGACGATAGTTAACACTTATATCTTATTATTCATTTGTTCGTACTATGCAACAGTTTATCAACTTTGGCTATGCAGGTCTATTAAATTCATTGATATTAATGATTTAAAGTATCTTAAACTTTAACGTCACGAGTCAGTTCAATTTAGCACGTCTGCCATATTTCCTGTGAACGATAGACACCGTAGTGCCAATCTCACGATCTGACTCCCTTTTGCCTGGGAATTCACTGTAATTTTGTTCTTCTATTAGTTATTGTGATCCAGCCTAAATTTTTAGAAAATTATTCTTTTCACAATAGTGACCAAATTCTGTACATTCTGTTAGATTGATAGGTAGTGCAATAAATATTTAAGTGCTGAACAATTTCAAACTAATTCCATAAATTCTTGAGACACGACTAATAGTTTTACTTTTAAATACTGCTCTTTTGCATCACTTCAACAATCAAGATGACGCTGGAAAAACCCCTATTTGTACAGTCTAACCACATTAACAAGGCGTATTTAAAGACCACTGAACTGGTGTGTCTTTTATGAAAAATTACGCCTTGTTTTAGACAGTCTAAATTGAACATTGTTGAAATCTGATTCCCAATTAACAAATCTGTGAAAACTGACAACAATGCAAAATTTGGAACTAACTTCCTTCTGACATCAATGATAAATAGGAACTAGATTGTGAAATGGTGGAACAAAAGGTTTAGAGGGAATTTCAAATCGCCGTTTTTAGAAATCAATTCAATTTTCCGACGTTATGCAAAGAACATAACTATCTCATTTATTCTGAAGATCCTACCATCAAAGGCGTTCTTAACTTCGAGTAAGATTTCGTATTTATTTCCCTAACGCAGGTGAAATGTAAAAATTTCTGACCATTTGTGTAGATCTCGTTGTGAACATAATAATCAGCTTTATAAAACATTGGTTTAACGTTTACATCATTTACTAGGAGTACTTGAATGAGTACCATTTTAATCCTTTTTAGATATTGCTACAATAAAGCTGAATTTAATGAATTTAAATGTATAGCAAACAAAATTGATTCAAAATTGTATGCGTTAGCAGTCATATCTACGGCACACCATGCAGTGGTTATGAAGCCAAAGTTAATGAGGATTTACGTGACCATTACTGCAACCGTGTGCACAGACACCAGTCGACTGTCCAATTCAAAACGCCCAGGTACATATTTCCAGTATATCCTCACGATAACCTCGCAAATAGATTTTTGCAAAATCAATCTTACCTATCATTGAGGCACTTGTCTAAGGACTGGGACTGGAGCATGCAATATTTAGTCCGTAATTTCAAAATAGAAAAAACACTTGAACACTGTAAAATATATATTTTCAAAAAAAATAAATATGAAGATGTCTTTGACCGCTTACCACTCGTAACTACACTTGTTATCTTTGGGAACAAAGACTGCTAAATGCATCCTCCACGTGAAAATAAGACGTCAAATCATTTTCATTTCCAATTAGAGTAAAGCAGAGCTTAAACAGATAACTGGCACATAGTTACGTTTTAATTTCTATCTGTCAGGTATTGAAAATAGGAATTAATATTTTTAATTTTATTATGTTTATCATGCAAAGTTTTAAATATGCTACTCCTAATGTTGCATAGCAACGAAGACCAGTTACTAGGTAATTCAACAAATGAGCAATGCGTTGAGAACGAAAATAAGCTTAAAATATTGTTCTGTTAAACAAGCAGTCAGTGTACTGGGAAAAAATGAGGAACACTTTTTAACTCGGTCAATTTATATACTTAAATTTAGTCTATTTTGGTTAGTTTAAGGCAAGTGGAATGAACTTAATTATCTAACCTCTACGAGTTGATGAATATCATGACAGGTGAGTTGTTTTCGCGCACACTAGAAAGTAAACATTGAAATCGTATTGAAAAACCCCATCTTTCTTTGTTAATACAAACATAACGTTATTAAAAACGCTACAATCTATTGACCCAATCATTGGAAAATACGATACCAATTCAGCAAATATGATGCAAAAGGAGCCAAAAATTGAAACACTAAGACGCTTTGTCACCTTGACGTTGTTCTTGCCATCTTTTTAGTAAAGCTCCAATAATGGACATTTTAATATTGCAGTGAAAAATAGCATTAATTATTAAAAATGAGACTATTTTTTACTGATCTTTTATGTGAGGCTATTGTATATACATTTTTGAAAACTGCATTATTAACAAATAAATTTATTCATGTATTTTCGACAAAATGGACAATTTAATCCATTTTATTTTATAGTCATATGATAGCAAGGCAAAAAATAAGGATATTGTCAGTTAGTATATATACACTTGACTTGATGAAGTTTATGACGACAACATGACTTTAACAATATGTATTATGAATTTTCCTTTTTTGGTGATCCATACTTCTCTTGGCCTTCAATCAAATGCATTTCAATGTTTTGAGTTTCATTCATGACGTTCTCAGATAGCACATGTCTTCGCAGTTGAATTTGTCGCAGATAATCCCGAGAACGCATGCATTCCGTTCGTCGACTGCCCAAGACGCTATTTAACCGTCGTTGTTTCCCAAAGCAGGGCACTGCAAGGGAACGAACTTCATGAAATTCTAACAAAATAAATCATGTCTAGCATTTAAGAACAATTCATGTGGACTTTTGGCTCACTTTTAAGTGCTTGATGCAATGAATTGGAATTGCGATAATTAAAGCCAACCAAATGAAAATCAAAACAGGTCTTTTCTCAAATCTCGTGGATTCAATAACAGTAATACCATTATATGCCATAAGGACGATTAATGGAGGCTGTTGCCAGGTGTTCTAATTCCATATTTTGTGACGAGAGAGGGATAACAAAAATTATTCATCAAAATTTCCAAGTGTAAATTTAGGACTATTCACCCCATTTGCTTTTCAAAATAATTTTAAACGTATTACAGGGTTAAAAAAAAATAAAGTCAATATCTGCATCGAGAAACAAACGTCAATAAGGCGGGAAAGGCTAGTTAGTTAATTGATAAAATGCAGAGATCTGTTCACATTCGAAAATCTTTCGTATAATATGCAGCAATTTGAATGAGCACCTTGAATAAAAAGTTGTTAGTTACTTATGCAAAATTTTACGATTTAACTTGTATAATACTTAAATTGTCAACTACATATTGTTCAATATTCTACGAACAGATTTATTATAAAAATTAGTAATGAACTTTAGACAATTGCGAAACTTATTCACGTAGGTTACAGATTATCGATTGGTATTACTATTGGGATAAATTATGCAAAAATTAAAATAACAAGACAATGTTATATTCATAGTATTTTGGATATATAAATTCCATTTTAAAGAATACTCATTAATGCATGCTACTTTTATATTCATAATGATAAAAATGGTTCATTATGAAAATTAATTTAACTTTAAATTCATTTTAAATGAAAATGAAACGTCACTGCTTTTCTAGTTGAGCTCGCCATTGTGTGAGTTCAGTGCTCTAGCTTTTAACCAAACTTTTTAACTGACTTAATAATAGCATCAAACTCACATTTTTTTAATGATTGAATTCAAAAAATTCAACATTCATTGGCATCTGCTAAACTTTCTCCATTTGATTCAATTATTACTGATCATATGGTGCATTCAGCGCTATGTCTTTCATAGAAATTTATTTATTTCAAATGGCAGACTTTATGATATTTATCATTAGCTCTTCTTTCATAGAAATAAATTGACCATTACAATGGCTTTTTTCCTCTTGAGTTGATATGAAGTAATTATTTGATAAATAAATGGATTTTTTTAAGAAAATTGAGGCATCAAAGGACCGCAGATAGATAGATAGATAAGAAGCAATATGAAAGTTAATGTTGAGAGATATTTTGCACTAAATCATTCCTCATTGAAGAACCATAGAAACCATCTATTAGATCTCCCAAAATGGTATGTTTTCTATGGTTATATGAATGAATTATGTTCCCTTTCAAAGAAAACTTAAGATTCTAATTCTAAAAAATATCAACAGAAGTTTTATCACTGGAAAATGATCTGTTTCAATTTATCTGCCTCTTTTGAAGAGAACTAAATTCTCACTACTTTGAAGAAATTACTCTACTTTTATTAAGAAAACAACATATTCAAAAGGAAATTAACTTCATTCAAAATTTAGCTCGTCATTGTTTTTAATTGGTTTTTATTAGTATTTAGCTGATTTTTCGAGTTATTTGTAAAATGTCGGAAGCAAAACCTGTGGGCAATTTTTTCAAAACAAGTCATTTTACAAAATTTGTGTACAAAATGTTGATTTCAGGTATTCTGAAAAAGATATTTCAATTAATTAAAGTTTAATACATTCTGGTTAGATTACGTTAAAATGTGAAAACATTTTGGCAAAAATCAGTTTAAAGGTTAGTTGATGTGCGATTTTTCAATCGGTTGCTTGATTTATTCATTCTAGCTAATGAGATTTTGTGGTTTTCGCAGTTAAATTCATTGAATAATTACATATATATTGCATACTGTGCTCAAACCTGTGCAGTGTACAATGCATTAAAACATTCTAGAAACTTCGGTTGTGATAAAGATGGCACACCGATCATTCCGGAGCACACATCCAGAGGCTGTCGATGTTCCTTCAGTGAATCGGTAATTTTACTCAATTTCTTTACATTTTTAAGTAAAACGGTCTTCACGCAATACATCTTGCGTTCTAGCTACATTTAGAGCAGCCTAAATTATTTATGACAAAAAGAATAGTAAAAAAGCTTTTTATTAATGGCTGAATGAATTAATCTAAGCGCAAAACAGTGGATTGGCCATGACTTTATTAATGTCATATTCGTTAGAAGTTCGATCTCTATTATAATAATGAATTAAAATAAACCATTTTTCTGTCTCCATGAGCGCGAACATCTTCAGAAGCATAATTTTTCAAAGCCCAAAGGCAGACCTACCATTTCTAGCGTTCAGGCGCCATTCCACGTTTGAAACTTGTGAGATTTTTATGGATGGAAATGAATAATACTCTCATAAAAGGGTTCACGCATAATTACTAATGTCGACGAATTGACAATTTAGCTACAAAGCAAATTTGATAGCTCACAAAACTTTACAAATGATGTGTTGAGTGCCTCAACACTCACTCAGTCAAAGGTACTAAATTTGAAAACTTCAATCTTTACGTCTTGAAATTCACTATTAGTAAAATAGACTTAATTTGAAAATTAAATGTAAGGCCAACTGACATTTAATTTGGATGGTAATTTATTCCTAAAACTGACCGAATTTACTGTCAAAAGGTTGTTGTAAGGTTCTGGAGAAAAGCATATTAACTTTTTTATTAAAAACAAAACCTAGATAGAGTTTTTTTAGGTTATTTGACGAATTCTTAAGAAATAATTTCAGCTTTTTTATATCTGCTTAAAAATCCCTCCAGTAAAATTTGTTTTCCTTTAAAGTAACCTTAAGATAAACAGATGTTGGCTTCTGGTAAACGTTGGAAACATTTAATTGCATGGACGGTTAGATTGGTTTCCAGAGTGAAATCTTACCTTGAGTAATCAGAAGTCGAAATGCTCTGCGGAATTTCTTGGACATTGCATTATAGAGAATAGGATTAACCGTGGAATTGAGAAAGGCCATTGTTTTGGCAAAAAGATACAACCAGTAATCCGGCTTTCTTATTGTCACAAAGCTGTTATAGACAACAAGTGATCGATATGGCAACCAGAAAATTGCAAAAAGAAAGACCACTGTCATGAGCATTTTGACAACCTAAAGGATAAAAAAACGCTTGAAAATTTTAATCTTCGAACATTCATACGCATTAGCCATTCAACTAAAGATAGAATTTGAAGAGTCTTTGTAGGCATTTTTTCTTTAATTTCCTAATTGCCTTAGCGTGAAAAGGCTAACGCGAAGATTTTCGTTGGACGTTTTAATAATATAATGAACAAAGCACCAAATATTCAAATTAAAATGTAAAAAAGCTTCCGTAACATTACTATTATCATAAAAGTTACATTTAGCTTATATCAACACAACAAGTTCATTTTATTTTCACAGAATTTAAGCTTTCTATGAGATGTGAATCAATTGCTCTTTTCAATCAAATAAGTGTTTAAAAAGCACATTTGATCAAATACTAATTAATACCCTTCTTAAGTTTTAACGACGAGTATTTTTCACTTCGATTTACTAATTACATATCATACTTTTGCAAAATTTGTTTTGTTTTTTCACTAGATTTTAAGTAAAATTCTTCGATATTTACTTGTTTCCTTGAACGAACTTGCCGACTGCCTGCACGACTCATGCCGCCCTGACCTGCGGGCTCGTTCGCATAACCTCTCGAGACAGAATTCGCCCGTCTCGGCAAACTTGCAGCTCCAGTTCCTCTTTCACCATCCAACTTCTTTTTCATCGGATTGAACCAGAGCGATTTGTGGAAGGTAAATAAGCGTGAAGTTATCTGTATATACATGGGGAAGATAAGACATAGTGGAATGGCGTAAAACAGTATTAGATCAAGAAGATATACAATGAGGTAACGACCACGCGCATATTTATAGGTGCACGTGGTATAAGTCCCTTGTAGATAGTATCTGATCTCAGTAGTAACAGTGAATAGCCAAACCGAATTATAGGCTGCAGAGAATATCCATATGCCCGCTATTATCTTAAGAGCTCTATTAACTGTACAGAGAGTTTGTGCTCGCATCGGATGGCAGATAGCAACCCATCGTTCAACTGAAAATGCGGCCATGGAGAGAATAGACGCATCCACAGATAAGTATTGCATTGCTATCATTATTCGACAGGCCAAATCTCCAAAAGTCCATTGGTTTATCATGACATAGAGTTCAAAAATTAAGGGGGCGGCAGCATGTAAAAGAAAAAGCAAATCGCTGAATGATAGAGACACTAAATAGCAATTTGTAGGACTCCGCATTTTGGAAGACCACATAGTGACGGTTATAACAAGAATGTTTCCTGTTATTCCAACTGCGAGAACAAGACTTGCTGCAATGGTTCCCAAAATGCGATACGAAAAGGCATAATACCTTGCAGGAGGAACCATTTCAAATTGTGAAGCAATGAAGGTGAGAGGTGCAATAGTGGACATGTTGGCATTCATTTTGAAATCGCTAAAATGCGGAGAATTCAAATATGCTTCTTAAGCAAGAGAGACTTCTGATTGGTCAGCTTAAATAGCCCTGTAATAGGGCGGTTTTCTTCCTAAATAACTGAACTCATCACTCCTGAGGCATAGTGTCCCAATAAAATGTATTTTTATTTTATACCAAGTAAATTAGGTGCAATTTGTAACAATCGCGTTAGATCTCATGATGGCAAGTAACGATTCATTTGCAAAGTAATCGATCTAACCAACTGATCAATGAATCACTTGCATAATTTGTTTTATCACGCGTCAGAATTAACTCCACAGATGAGAGGTAATGGGAATTTTTATCTTAATGTGTTTAGGTTGGATGGAGAATTTCAAAATATTCCTACTCAAATTTCTGAGATTAATTTAAAAAAAATTATAACTACTGTTACGTATCAACCAGCATATGAAAAAAATTGGTTTACTAAAAAGGAATTACTAATATATAAATTCCGACGAATAATACCCAATTACTGTTTATTAAAATTGAATGAATAGGGGTTTTGCTCAGTAAATTGAACTAATTATCCGATTAAGTACGATGGAGCTGTTGAACTATTTTTGGAAACATTCAACTTTCAAACCTTTAATCATACTATTCCATCTGATAAGATGAAATAAAAAAACGAGTTTTATAGGAGGCAAGTAATGAATTTAGCAGTTCACGTGCTCCAATTTGTTTGAAGTAAGTGAGGATTGAAATATGACGTGGCATAATTTTGACATTTCATCCCATGACATTTTTTCATCCCCCTTAGCGTTCGTTGACCAGCCCATTTAGACTCGTTATTGGCCTGGTCACATGATTTATCTACAACTCTTTACAGACAAGAGTATATTGATGGGACAGGCATAGGTTGCATTACAACTCACTTTGCTCAGAAAAGCACACAATAAAAAACTTGCCAGTCAATGTTATCTACTTGCTCCTTCTACATAGTTGATATACCAATTGATCGCGTATCAATTCGTGTCCCCGTCGAATTGTCCCGTCGTGAATACTTACATATTTCGTCTACCTTGCCAATTGTCAGGGTCGTCAGTGAGATGATATTCATCTGTAATTCCATCAAGACGATTCCAAAATCATGCGGTCAAATAATCTACCTACTGATTAATTGGTCTTAAAGAATTTTTAGAGCAGGATATATCGAGTAAGTTAATCGGAAAGGATCAATAACTTATAACTTCCGTAAGTGCAATGGGGCATAAATACGAACTTTTCCAGCTTTTTAAATAGTATTAAAATAAATTAATTACGTCCAGGAATTTTGTTATTTCATATCTTCTTCAAAAACAATTATGCATATTCACAGTGTTCAAACTTGTGCTTCAAAACTTAAAGCTCAATATTTCGATCCAAATTTATGCTTAACAAATTCAATAGAACTTACAGTAAAGTAAGTGGATAATCATTAAACAGATCTGACGAACTATCACAATAACGTGTAAACGAATTTGCACATGTCAACTATTTCATAGTCCTTTCTTTTCGAACCAAATTACTAAAATCGTAAAATCTTCCATTTTTTCTCCGCTTCCCAATTTTCCATTTGGACACTCTTTTCAGTAGATAGATATATCACTATATTCCCGATTTTGTTTCCTTGTCCTGTTAGCGGTGAATGCTATGTAATTCATTAAAACATTCTTATCAAAATTGCCTATTAGAGCCCGGTGCTTAAATGATCCTTTCATATGGTTGTCTTTTCATTTCTCTTTTAAATAAATGCAAAATATTGCTAGATAAGCCAAAAAAGTATTTTTCTCTGAAAAGTGATAAACCATTAAGATTTCAACTAGTGACTTCTGACCGATTGTAACAAAGAACTTTAAGATAACTAGTGAAAAGAATACGGAGCATTGCAGATCAGTTATTGGCAAGTTTTAATGATTACCATATAATATTGTAATTATGAGGTGCGCGATAGACTTACCTCCACTTGATGCCCTCTGGGTAACGTATACTCATACGATAAAAAAGTCTATTAACTGGCAGTTGACTTCTGACTTCAAACCACAATGAACCGACTGTATGCAATATTCTACCACTTTCACAGTACTCATCCTACCTTTTTTCTGCCTTTGCGTCTGTCTCTTTTACATCTGCAAATCACTCTTCTGTTCCCCATGCCTCGATTTTCTGTCACTTTGATGTTCCTTCTCTCTATGAAGACCGAAGCCAACTAAAGGGCTAATGATAACTATCAAAACGCCTGCCATTTGAAATAAATAAACATTATAATTATTTGCATAGTTTAAAACCTTGAAATTTCTTTAGCATTCATTTTAATTTCCTGAAAAAGTTAAAACA